CGCCCAACCCAGAGCAAGGCCCCAGCTCTCTTCAATTCTGAGATGGTGGAGAGAGCTGAGGGAGCTGCAGAAGAAAAGTGTGAAGCTAGCAGAGGTCGGTTCACGAATTTAAGGAAATCTGTCTCCTTCAAAACAAAGTGCAAGGTGATGTGGCAAATGCTGGTGTAGAAGCTGCAACAAGTTATCCAGATTATTTAGCTAAAATCTTTGATGAAGGTCTACACTAAAAACAGATTTTCAATATAAATGAATGTGGATAAAGTGAAGGTTCCTGTGGCCAGGATTCTCACCTGGCCCTGGTGGGCTAGCTCACTACACACGTGTGGGCAATATGTTGTCATTGACTCTATACAAAGAGCTCCGCCCAATGCTCTGGGCAACATGGTGGCAGGGCTGCATGGCTGCAGGAGAGCAGAGATGAGACTGCAGTCATGGCAGCTCCGAGGACAGAGACTGAGATGGCTGTGGGGCCAGAGGCCCAGAGGCAGAGACTGGCTTGCTGCATGCAGACTCTCTCTGAATGGACGGGATTCTGAGTGGATGGGATACTAGTGATTGACCTGCCACCATGGGAATAAAGTTGCGTATAAACTGTTTCACCCCGAGAATGTTCTACTGTCATTTCTTTGGTCACATTGAATCCATAGTGAACTTGGCCAGGACCAAAACTCATTAGCAAGACAATGAAACAGCCTTATATTGAAAGAAGATGCCATCTAGGACATTCACAGCTACAGAGAAGTCAGTGCTTGTTTTCAAAGCTTCGAAGGGCAGGCTGAATCTCTTCTTAGAAACTAAAGCAGCTGGTGAATTTAAGCTGAAGCCAGTATTCATTTACCATTGCAAAAATCTAGGTTCCTTAAGAATTAGGTCAAGTCTACTCTGCCCATGCTCTCTAAAGGAGGGAGGAGTACTTCTAAAATCTTGTATTTCACCAGTCAGTTTGGAATCTATTTCTACCACGTTTCAGCTTCCCGGGAGTCCCAAACTCCCCCATCATGCCTTAACTCCCCTCTCTTAACTACCTGACCCAGGAACCGCCAGCGCGAGGCTACAAACTGCCTGCCGGTCATCCTCCGGCCAGCTTGACGTCATCACGTTGTGACATCACGAGCACCCCCACGCGCATGCTCACTGTGAGGCCAGGCACCCTGTAGGCTACAGGAGCCGAAGCGCCCCTCAGCTACGGCGGAGCGTGACTGCACCGCGCCTTCCCCTCACCGGGCAGCTAGGGTCCCCCTGCTTTCCAACCAACTGCCAACCGGGTGCCTCCATTCCGGAGAAGAGGGAGACCCTGAGCAGACACCATGAGCATCCTCCTGTTCTTACTGAGCGTCATTTTCTTAGCCTTGTTGTTCTGTTTATGTAAATGCTGTTTTGAGGTAAAGTGTAACTGGAATTAGGTGAAGCTAGATGAATACGTGGAGGGCGGGCGGGGGTTGGGGGGATGTCTAAGAGTAGAAAGGTAGTAAAATAGTAAAGTTAAGGGGAGGTCAATTCGTTCCTCTCTCTCTCCTGAGAGCCCCAGGTGGTTACTCTTTGCCCTCACACTTCCCTCACGTGGGCGGACCATTCGACGGCCCGGGTCCGTCATAAAAAGCCCCGTCACTAAGCGATACTGCCCGCTTTCCACCCACTTGAAGAGCTGAAAGTGCCCACTCCCTACCACCACCTCCCACTTTACGAGTGTGTACCTTCTCTATCTGTGGCTTCCACTGCCCCCCATTTCACTACTTGCCTTCCTCAGCTGTATTTTCCTTTTCTGCCATCTTTTTTTTTTTTTTGTGAGAGCGTTTGGAGCATTCTCAAATAATTCCGGTCAAAATGTGGGTTTCCTGGTGATATTTAAAGTTGCAAGTGAAGTACTTTTAGATATGGGTCAGACACGGTAAAAACATAGACCGACTTGGCTGCTCAGAAATGTAAGCCAAGGCTATGGCATTTAGGCATTAAAAGGCTGCCTTCATATTTTAGTGTAGACATTCAACAGATTTGTAATCTCTGATCCTTAGGGGAGGACAGTCAGGTCACTTTGGTAACCACGACTCAGCATGTTATTTGGTAGTATTAGAAATTGCTAAACTCAGTAAACTACGTACGTGTAATGTCTTTCCCTTACAGACACACCATGGTGAAATACCCGCAAGTTCGACTACTCTCACCCCAGTAAGGCCGTCGTCCTCTTCTTCTGGGTCAACTAAGAGCAACACTGATAGCCTTTTAGTCAAGAGTCTCTCTCGGGATAGTTTAAGTAATTATCCTGATTCAGAAGCCATGCTGGAGCAAATACTGGGAAACGTCAGGATCATGCGACTCACGCTGACTGAATTGGAACATCTACTTGCCTGGAGTGCATCAGATAGCTCGACGTCCACCGAAGGGCTTACAGACCATACTGATGATGAAGGCACTCATTAAAGGCACTCATTAAATGCTTTGAGTCCACTTTGAGTGGATTCATTTGATTGTATGTGTTTATACCATATAAATTATTGTTTAGAAGGAGAGGGAATGCCAAGTCAGTTACAAAATTCAGACTCTTATCAATTTGCCTACTCACATTTACAGAATTGGTTATATGTTGCTAATACATATTACTGGGGAAGGAGTGAAAGCACAATAAAGAGAAATAGTGCAAAGGCTTTTTTTTACATAAAATACAGTAAAATTATAATTGTAATAGTGATTTTAATTTCACTCGAGTGTGAAAAACAGTTTTGTGTAATGGTTTACAATACCACAGATGTCTCCAAGTTTGCATTAGATGGGACTTGATGGGGTTTTTTTCCATTATGCAGAAGACTCTTTCTTAACCACTGTTGATAATGAGAGCTATCATTGAGCACCCTAAAATATGCTAGTCACTGTTAAGATCTGTACTTTACAAGCTTGTGAAGAGAGTCACACAAACTCTTTGTAGTCAGCTCTTGAAAGGGACTTCTTCCCCATCGACCCTCACACCCCCACACACAACAATTACATATTTCAGTAGAAATGTGTATAAATCTTCCCAGAATTGCAAGTCACCTGTAGAAAATTTCATACCTTTTTCTATTTGGTGAAGAACAGCACCCCTCAAGTAGCACCAAAATATCATGGTGGAATGCATGTAATGTAAAATGGATTCACATTAAGAAAAAATATGTCTAAGGTCTCATCAGCTGTCCATTCCTAGTAATATTTTGTAAGCTTCAGAATAACTAAAGAATTAACAATCTGTTGAAGTTCACTAACATCATTTGACCTACCCTCAAAGAAAACCCTCAAAATATCTAACATGAGTTCGTTTAATCTACAGTTGACCCTTGAGCAATAGGAGGGATGGGGGAGCTGACACCCTCCCACCACAGTTGAAAATCTACATATAACTTTTCTGACTTCCTAAAACCTTAACTACTGATAGCCTATGGTTATCAGTTAACATGAACAGTCAATTAACACATATTTTGTGTGTTACATATATTGTTGTAGATAAAATGAGAGTTCCTGTGGCCAGGATTCTCACCTGGCCCTAGTTGACTAGCTCACTGCTGTTGTGTTGACTAGCACAACAGCAGTACATGGCTGTTGACTCTATATAAAGAGCTCCGCCCAGTGCTCTGCGCTCAACACGGTGGCAGGGCTGCAAGGCTGCAGGAGAGCAGAGCAGAGGCTGTAGTGGTGGCAGCACCAAAGACAGAGAAGCCCAGAGGACAGTTTTGCAGGACAACTGTGCAGAGAGGCCCAGAGGACAGCTGTGCGGACAGAGGGGCCCAGAGGCAGAGACTGGCTTGCTGCATACAGACTTGCTCTTAGTGAATGGGATTTTAGTGACTGACCTGCCACCTGGAAATAAAGTTGGGTATAACCCTTTCACCCTGAGAACGTTTTGCTGTCATTTTCTTTGGTCACATTGAATCCATAGCGAACTTGCCTGGGGCTGAAACCCATTGGCAAGACAATTGTATACTATATTCTTACAGTAAAGTAAGCTAAAGAAAATGTTTTCTTGTATTCTCCAAAAATTTCTCAAGTCCCCCCCAAAATTTCCAATATATTTATTGGAAAAAACCTGCATTTAAGTGGACCCATGTAGTTCAAACCCGTGTTCAAGGATCAACTGTATATGTACATAAATCACTGAGATTGTTTAATTACAGGCCTACCTATTTATGTAACTTCATGCCTCCTCCCTCCCAAAATAAATTACCAGTATAAATTAAAGAAATACCTAATCGTTTACTCTAATCTTCAATCAAAAGGAAGAGGAAAAAGAATTTATGATGTATAGGAAGTGAAGACTTAGAAATATTCCTTTTAATCCTCATTTGCCAGGAACAAAAAGCCAGCAGTACTGTATGTAGTTTTTAAACTTTTTTGAGTCACAGATCTCTTTGAGTCACAGCATTCTGATGAAAGCTATGGACTCTCTCCCTAGAAAAACGCATGCACACATACATATGGAAAAATAGTGCAGTAATTTCAGTTTCAAACATTCTGTGAAGTCCAGGTTAGTAACCTTAATAGCTTAAAAGTTTCTTACATATTTAGGCAATGTTCCTCAGCCTTGGCTGTGATGTTTCAACTAATTGTCTATGATATATAATCATTGTGTAATCCTATTCATAATACAACATGTTTTCATTATCTTTTGTGAGGAAACTGGGACATAGGACTTTCTAATTTGGCTATCCTCACTCTTGACAGGTTTTACAAGCTTATTTCCTATAACTATGCAAATAAGTTATCACCTGTAAGTGGTAACTTACTCAAATAAGGCAAAATCTTTCTACTTGTTCTGTTAACTATATATTGCAAACATAAGATCTTAGATTTTATTGAAGCCATTTCTTCATTATATTTGTTACATGTTTTATCTGAAATTAAACCTAGATTTCAGAGAGTATAATGAACTACTCTTAATTTTGTGAAACAGAAGAAATTAGATGGATCCTATTTATCTTCCAAATAAAACCTAAGTAAGACGTTACATAGGGAATAAAGTGCTCAAAGCTTCTGGATTCAGTTTTCTAGATTTATCACTTACCGCCCATAGGATCTTTATTTTCTTTCTTTTTTCACTATTTGTAAATGAAGGACATAACCACTAAGTTCACATAGAAAAAGTGAGCCATAAACACGTGACGCTTTCAGACATATTTGGATCAAAAATGTTAAACTATAGTCTTCATATTACATAGATAGCCCATTTTTTCCATATATGTATGGTATTTCTAATCAAGTGAGGCCTTCAATTTTAACACTTTTTAAAAATATACTGATTTATTTTCCCCAGCTCTATGGAAAAAAAATGATTGCACACTGTGAAAATATAAGCAAATATTTAAAACTTGTATAATACAAAATATAACTGTTTTCTAAATCAGCTCAAACTAAAGCCTTCAATATATTAGAAAAATATTATGGTGATATTTACAAAAATGTTATTGTGATGTAGAGACAGCTATGTGTGTTATACAGATAAATATTCTAAAAAGAAATATAATAATCACATTGCTACACATTAGATTTACATTTTTATATTACATTCCTACTTAAATGGGAAAAAGGCTTATTCTATTATGAATATAGTATATACATTTTTCTACTCAACATACAAATAAATATTTTCCTCTATTCTAAAATAATCACATCATGCAACCATATATTTTTTAAAATTTGATCTCATTCTGGTAGTCTGCTGCCACTAATAGTAGGTATTTCATGGTTAGTCTTATTTTCAGGATCTATCATGTCTTTATATCTCTCCCCACGATGTCTCTCCAGGTATGGGCCCCAGTTAGAAGCTGGTCTGCAGGAGCTTACAATGCGCTGAAGATTTAAAAAAAAAGGAAAAAGAAAGCTTGTTTTGGAACTTAAGTGCTACTATCTGTAAACAAGCAAATATCAAAAACTGTATTTTCATTTTAGAAGGTTGTCTCTCTGCTAACCAAAATGAAATTAAGAACCAGTAAATAAGTAAAAAGTGATCATCTAAATTCTTAATACACAGTTTACTAAAAAATGATACTCAAATTTAACCAACTAGCATGAGGGTTCGGTGAGGATCTAAACCAGTGTTTACCTGGAAAATTTCAAGAATCAAAGAAAGGGAGCTCCAGGGTCAAACCACGGATATCGATATCGATTCACTCATAATGGGCTTGGGAATTTACTTAAAACCTGACTCCTCAACCTACTCATGATTGTCCTAGTGAGATGTCATGATCAACGCCATCCCCCTAGGTCTCCGTGGGACGACTCAGCTCTAGGCTGGGTTCAAGATAATGTACTAGGCTTTCCCCAGTCTAAATATATTAGAACATGTATTATAATCAAACAAGCTTTTAAAAGTGAAGATTACAGATATAAAGCAAAAATGTCATCTGCTCTGTGTCATCTTCAGGAACAACTCAGTACAAGTCTAAATGTCGTAACTTTTATGTGCTCAGTAAGCACTTGAATAGGGCCTGAAGACACAGCAAGCAAGACAAGACTCCTCCTTGAAGGAGCTTGTGGTCTAGTACAGGGAGGCACAAATATATCCACAGCATATATAATGCAATGTTATGCACCTAGTAATGGATGATTGTCTCAGGTATAGAAGAAGCCTAAAGGAAAGAGTGATCAATTTGATCTTATGCTCATAATCTCATATTACCACCCTATGGGGAAATTAATTTTCACTTCGAATATAAGTACTTAATATAAAGTATAAATAATATGAATTTAATATGCTTACTTGAAAGAGGTTTCCTTTAGCTTGAATTATTTTTACGATAGCTATAATTGGAATCCAGATAATGCAGAAAATAATCATACACCAGCCTAAAGCAACACTCCAGTCAGGGTATGGAATTTCAGCATAATAGGGTCTATGAAATTTCACTAGTGACCAGATCAAAATTGCCTGGGAAAGTAAAATATGAAGACAATGCTAAATATGAGATTTTATTGCACAAGTGATTTCAATTGCACTAATGATTAACAATTTGATGCCACTCCTTAGAAAAAAATTTATCAAAAACAATTGAAATGAAAACACATGCAAGCAACCCAGATAAGCAGGTAATAGCCAGAAGATAACAATGCTAAATGAACCAGTCTAAATAATTTGTGTCTGGCTTTGAACAGATTCTCCCAAAATTATCACCTCCACATATATATCTATAAAAGATAATAAATATTGTCCAACATGTATTTCAGCAAAATACTTTACCAAAAGATGTATCAGATTGAAAGTAAAACTATGTCTGAAATTTTCTTATTGAAATTCTAACTTTCCTTTATAAGTGCACGGTTTTATTATGTGCCATAAGCTGGCCCAGCATATTGAACACTTCAGAGAATGTAAAGTACCCTTTAGTGAACATGTTTTGCTCCTTATTAATTATTTTCACTGTACAGAGCACCCCTTACTCCACACCCAAAGCACACACACATTCACACATACTACTGGTGCATATTTACCAAAACACACTTTACTTCCAGCCTCTTAGAAAAAAAGCAAGCTCAATGTATGCTTGGGTAAAATGGTAAAATTTGAGTCTTAATGCTTTAAATCCAAATACTAAAAATGTTTTTTAAGAAACTTTCTAGACAAGTTGCTGCATTAAAACTAATTATTTAGAAATCCGCAAAGCAAACAAAAAAAACCCCCAAATCACCTAGTATTTTCTCTAAATTTAGCTCTTTGTTTTACTAAAATCAATGAGCAAATAGAATGTAAGAACCTTTATAAGATAGACAGTCAAGTTTAATTTTAGAATTAGATTAATTCACTAAATTACAGTAATTTAAATGCATTTCACAATTACCATAATCTTCCATAACTACAAGAGAATGGATGAGGGACAGTGGAGTCTAGTACATATAACTTTATATAAAACAGACAATAATATACATCATTTAATACTTTTGCATTTTAAAGTAAATCCAGTTGTCAAATTTATGCAATCAATGAAAATTAGCTAGCTAAAATGTCTAGTTAGATCTTCTAAATTGATAAGGAGCTTATTTTATTATGGAGACTTGTCAAATGAGGAAAATAATATTTAGTAGCCCTGTCAAAGTCCTTTCACAAGAATATGGAGCATCCAAATATTTTAATTCAGCACACCCAGTCCCCAACTACTCACTATTTGAAACTGGCCTTCTAATGTTAAAAAAAATAAAACAACATCCTCTAAAGACAAACATGATATTTCAGGTGTGAAGCAAATGCGAGATCAAATTCCTTAATGGCTTTTCTAGGAAAGCCTTGGAGGCATGGAGACAATGAGAGCCAAGAGGCATCCTCTGTGAAGCTTTGCCACTTCCTCCCCGACCATTATCTCTAGTCAGTAGGAATTCTCCAGCCTCCTCAATGTTTGTCATTAATCCAGCTACTGTCCTGAACTGTTATTTAAAGATAGCATGTCTATATGTCATGTGTCTCCAGTAAGACATCCTATTAACATAAACTAGTGTCTGTATTAACACAGGTGAGTTTCTTTTAGTAATTTCAGATATACTATATGCCTCCATAAAATGTACGCAGTAAAACCTGAGTGTTGTTTCTTAGCTCTTAGAGTTGTTGTTTCTATCGTTCTTGTATAATAAATTAGTATATTTATTTATTTACTTTTTTATAAATTGTTTTACTGAAGTAGTCGATGTACAATATCATATTAGTTTCAGGTGTACAACATAGTGATTAGTATATTTCACAGTTAGCTTTAGGTGTGTACAACACAGCAATTGGTATATTTAGATTGAACTCCTTGGTAGCAGTCTGGCTCGTAGGCATTTTTGTATTTTCTGTACCTAGCAGAGAGGTTTGGAATGTTGTAGATGGCTCAGCATATATTTTAGGGAATGAGCAAATGAATGGTCTATTTTTATTTATCCTACTGATGATTTTTAAGTATGTAGGACCTTTAAGTCTATAGGAGGCTGTTTATTTTCTCAAATGGTACATGTTCCCTTGAAAATAATACTGCAAAGGCATTTTAATTTAAGCAAGTTGGAGGTGTCAGTCATAAAGCAAAAGTTGAAAATCATTAATTTATGACATTAGTTTTCCTTATGTGAATTATTTCCAATGGGAATTATTCTTCAAGTTTCTCTTAGAATTGTTTGGATGCATACATATTATTGGTACCAAACTCACGGCATATTAATACTTACCATCAAAAGGAGAGGCGTAAGGACAAACCAGCAAGTTCTCCACCATAGCCAGAAAATCCATCTTTTTGCTCCAATCATCATTTCTATATCTTCAATGAATCTGTTCCCTCCTAAAAAAAAAAACCAACAACAAAGAGTGCATTCATCCCTTGCTCATGTTTTCTTCCCTTAATCATTGTGGCCCCAAATATCAATCTGACTAAATATTTTGCTATAGCACAGCAAGGAAGCATACACCTTTAACTATATTTCATTCATAGCATATTTTTCCCCGTTACAGTATACTTTATTGTTATAGTAAACATAATGAAAAGCAATCTAAATTATTTTAATAAACTAAATTATTTTAATTATTTTAATAAAAGGTACAGATAATTCTATGGTCACTATTTACCGTAAATCCAGATGATTCCTATTAGTTCCAGTATAGCTGCAATCAAAATGCCCCATCCAGCACAGAAGTGGTCAATCAGATGAACCCAGTAAATTCCAGCCTACCAAAAAAATGTCAGTTACTTCTAAGTATATTTTAATTATTTTTATGATTGATGAAGTATCCCAATTGAATCTATTAATTTGGTTTTAACATATCCTCCTTGGCTTCGAAGGAATGTTTTCAAACATAAACACAAATGTGGCTTTAAATAGCTCCAAAAGAATTCACCTTTCATTCTATACTGAGTCACTGGGGAAAAAAAATAAGCATTCAGAATAGCTGATTATCAAAATGATGTGCATTGTCTGTGGGCTCTGTAGTAGCTGCCAAGAAACAGTGTGTATTTTTGCAATGTATAACTTAATTGTAATTGGGAAAATGGTCCATTATCAGGCCTCTTCCCACTCTGCAAAATATACTTCCTATGGAAATTGTGTTACAATGGGAAAAAACCGGGGCTGAAATTCAGCAAACTTTGATCCGAGTCAGGCTTTAGCTTGTCACTAAGCATCCTCTTATAACTTTGGTTTCCCCATTTAGATCATAAAATACGTTCAGACTCACGTTTTACCGATGAAAAAACACTACACTGTACCTGAGTGACACACACAAGACCAAGGAGAAACAAAACCAAGCAGCATCCCAGCGTTATGGGGATCCTCATTTTCTTCATCACTTTGGGAAATAAATCCTGAATTGTAGTTGTCATCGTTTCTTCAGAAGGGAAAAATGACATGTTATATGCCAGCTTGTTTGCCGATAGTTTAAATCAGAAAATTCAACCTCTGATAACCAGATTCACAAATACATGCTGAGCACATACTCTAGGCCTTCTTCCTTGCTTTTAAAAGTCCATGGGGTCCCATTGTGTATATGTACCACATCTTCTTTATCCATTCATCTACTGATGGACATTTAGGTTGCTTCCATATCTTGGCTATTGTAAATAGTGCAGCAATAAACATAGGGGTGCATCTGTCTTTTGCAAACTGGAGTGCTGCTTTCTTAGGGTAAATTCCTAGAAGTGGAATTCCTGGGTCAAATGGTATTTCTATTTTGAGCACTAGTCAGCCATAAGAAAAAAACAGATCCTACCATTTGCAACAACATGGATGGAGCTAGAGGGTATTATGCTCAGGTGGAGAAAGACAAGTACCAAATGATTTCACTCATATGTGGAGTATAAGAAAAAAGGAAAACTGAAGGAACAAAACAGCAGCAGAATCACAGAACCCAAGAATGGACTAATAGTTACCAAAGGGAAAGGGACTGGGGGGGATGGGTGGGAAGGGAGGGACAAGAGCGGGGAAAAAGAAAGTGGGCATTACGATTAGCATGTATAGTTTGTGTGGGGCACGGGGAGGGCTGTACAACACAGAGAAGACAAGTAGTGATTTTACAGCATCTTACTACACTGATGGACAGTGACTATGAAGGGGTATGTGGGGGGGCCTTGGTGAAGGGGGGAGCCTAGTAAACATAATGTTCTTCATGTAATTGTAGATTAATGATACTGAAATAAAAAATAATAATAAATCCACGGGGTCCTTCCTCTTGGCATTCGCCACTTGTCATTTCTGGCAAAAATCAAATGCAGCTCTATTTGTTGGTTTTAGTTTGTTTCATAGAGTTTTTCATTGATAGTAACTGTAAGATAACAGGTTTCTTAGGGCCAGAGTAGTTTGAAAGGTGATAGGGAAGGAAAAATTCTAGCAAAACTTCTATGTAAGGTGAATATTTGAACAAATGGCATGCAGACAGAAAAGCTTTCTGGGTTTAAAAAAGAAATGTATTCATGAAACAAGATACTGGCTGAAAGTAGAGGGATGTATGAATGAACGGGTTAAGATACACGTTTGGAATGTTCAAGGGCTTTGAACGTTGGAGGCTGGACTTTCCCCTGTAAACAGTAAACTATTTAAAAGGCTCTATTTACAAGACTGATAAGATGAAAACTATTTCAGAATTCCTAGGCATGCACCATAGGGAAAGTCCCTGTGTGTGCATACAACCACGTGCAATAACTCTCATTGCAGCAGTGTCATTGTGCTCAACTGGAAACAATCCAAATGCCCACCATTAAGGTGACAGATTGTCAATTAACTAGATCTCAATGTCTATGCTTCAACATGGATTTATAATACGTGTAAAAAAACAACAGTCAGAATGTTATATATGCTATGAAACTTCACACTGATGTGAAAATTTAAAGTTTATATATATTTTTTGGATACATATAAAACATATACAAACATGGACTGAGTAACATATATAATCCATGGTAACGGTTGCTTCTAGGAAAGAAGGAATGTGAATGAGGGAGAGAAACATAGGGGACTTCAAATTTACCTGTCACAGATGATTTTTCTAAAAAATATCTAAAGCAAATATGATGAAATATTAATGTTTGTTTCCTTTTGGGTGTCTGGTACATGAGTGCTTAGTATTTCTCTGCATTGAACATTTAAGTTAAAAAGTATTTTCAGAAAGATCATTCTGAGACTAAAAGCTAGAGGCGGCAACGAGGATATTTTTAAGTAGAGAAAACATGAGTCAAATATGAGAAGGATATTTTATCCCTGGGAGTATTACTTACCAATGGAAGCAAACTGAGAGTCAAGACCCAAAGTCAAAAGCATGAAGAAAAATAATATGGACCAAAATGGCCCTCCTGGGAGTTGGGCTAGAGCTTCTGGATAAGCAATGAATGCCAAATCGAAACCTAAGAAAAATGTATGGCATTTTAATCTAGTTGCCAAGAAAATTCACATATTTGGATATTTTCAGAAGATGATATTAGGAAATTCTCATCATAATTTGGTACCCCAATCCATGATATAAATTCTTTAGCAACTGTTCCACTTTCATCTTTAAAACTATTTGACTTGGTTCTTCTATGATGTGATAATGTGAACATGTGACATGAGTTAAGTTAGATAAATTTTGTAAATGGTACATTTTTCACAGAAGATATCTTTAGCTATTTCAATGACTTTGTTTAACTGATTTCATTTTTTTAACACAGACTAGCACCTGTCTGAAACTCCAGAAACCTAAATCAGGTCACATGTTTTGAGCCTAGAAATCTAAAAGAATTATACCACCTACGAAAGATTTATGGAACTAGCTTTTTAGTGTTTAACTGTGTCTGCAAATCTTTACCCAGAACCATTATATGTAGTGCTACTTTAATTAGTATATGGGCACCTGCAACATTGTATATAATGAAACTATAAACTAAATCTTATTTTCCATTTGATGTATGTTACCATCAGAGATCCTTTCTTTAAAAACAATTTCAATTATATTGTGTAATATTTAGTTTTATGTATGTTAAATTTCTCCAACCTTCCAAAAAACTCATCTAGGATTAAGGACTAGTAGCTTTTACCCTAGGCTCTGTCACTTCCTAACAATTTGATCTTCTGCAAGACATAGCATTTCCATTCATCAGTCCTTTCCTTTGTAAATGAGGAGCTGGACACTAGACTTCCCTCCACAGTCCCTTCTAGTCCTAACATTCCATTCTCATTCACCAGTCTCTCCATCAAATGATACTAACCCTAAATCAAAATTTAATGAGTAATTCATACTTTAAAGAACCTTAGAACTCACCAGGTAACTAAGCATCCCTAGCTAATGTCTTTAAAGTTAGGAAGTTCATTGATCAGATTCTTTCAAAGCTGGACACAGCTGTACAATCAAAGTGACTTGGGTTTCTATCTATATGATATTGGTGTGTTTTAAAAATTCAAACCCAATAGATGGTATTTTATAAAATTAGAAGCATTTTTTTCTTAATCCATAAGAATTGTTAAGTGCTTCAAGTCATTTTCTGTGTTTTAGGGAACTAATTTTTAAAGTATGATTTGATATATTATTCCCTTGGGAAAATGTAAATTAACATTTGGGTGCTGCATTTGCCTTTGTGTTCATATAATTTGTTTTATTCAATTCTCTTTAAGTGTCCCCTATTTTAAAATATCAACATGCTAATTCATAAAAAAAAATTCAAACCCAATACTGTAATTGTACATAGAGGAATTTTTGTATATATTGTCTCTCACATATTCTTATATATGTATTATAGATAGGTAGGTAGGTAGATAGATGATAGATAGATAGATACATAGATAGATACATAGATACATAGATAGATACATAGATACATGGATGTATAGTGCTTAGCATACCTGATACTTTTAATTGTGCAGTAAGTAAGTAGTTCATATTAAGGCCTAAACAAAACTTGGAAAAGATATCTTCTTAAATAATGGTTCCCTAATATAGTCCTATTTTCTCAGATCATTTAATAATTATTACATCATTAAAACAACTAAATTATATATATATATCATTAAAACAACTAAATTATATATATATATCATTAAAACAACTAAATTATATATATATATCATTAAAACAACTAAATTATATATAAATTATATATGCAAAAGAAAATGCAATACCCTAAATCTTGAATGCTTTAAGTAAATTGCTATAAAATATATTAGTGTTTCTTAAGTGAACTACATTGGATTAATTAAAGTTAAAAATATAAAGCATAACATACCTGATTTTACAACCTGAGAGACTTCCTTTCCAGATATATGAGCCATGTGTCCCAAGATAGAGAAAATAGCAAATCCAGCAAACACACTCGTGAGGCAGTTTGTCAAACAAACTATAATGGCATCTGAGAAGCAGTTGTTATTGAACTTATTGTAAGATGATAAAGCAACTAAGCCACCCCAAGCCACTGAAAGGGAGTAAAATATCTGAGTGGCAGCATCTTTCCAAACCTACAGAAGAAAATAATTTGATATTTTAAAGAATATGTTCTTAATTTTTAATTTTAGAAAATAATTTAATTTTAGAATCAAATTTAAATATAAAACTAAATCACTTAAATTTAATCTTAGAAAATACTTTAATATGTAAAAATATGGAATCTTAATATTCATTTTCATCTGTATAAAAACACATATATAAATGAATAACTATTATAAATAACAGTGAAAGCAACACCCAGGTACCCACTACTCAGCTTAAGAAATACAATGTTACCAGTCTTCTAAAGCCTCCTTGTGCCCCTTCCTGATCATCCCACCCTTCTATACCCTCCAGTGGTAACTATCCTGACTTCTGTGTTTATCATTTCCTTATTTACACTTTTACTACATAAATATGTAAACCTAACACAATACGGCATTTAGCTTTGTATGTTTTGGGGTTTATAGAAAAGTTTTCTGAATGTTGTAGATAAACTGGCGTATGTTCAGGCAAGGGTTTTTTTAGTCCATCTGAAAACAGGACTGGTCAGTGGAAGGCAGGCAGTATAATACGGTGACTCAGAGTTCTAGCTCTGGAGTCAGGGAGATTGAAGTTTACATCCAATACCTCTCACTCTCGCTGGTGTCAATTTACTTGACATTTTTAAGCCTGTATTTTCATCTATAAAATGGAGATGATAATAATTATTATAAGTGTCCTAGGAATGATGTGAGAATTAAATGAGATAGCAGATGTAAAGCAATTAGGATGCTCAATGGTAGATATTAATGTTATTATGAAAAATCTTCATAAATTGATACTCAGTTTCCTCTGTGGAAGTTAAAAACAACAATTTACTCCTGAAAGGTATGTAATCTATTTCCAAGTTCAACAAAGATTAAGTTGTTAGGGAGTAAGAGAAATATTGCTAGGTTTCAGAATACAACGTGATGTTAAATGATTACTTCACTATAATTGCCTCATCATGGCAGGAAGCCCATAGGAAGCAAAACGGATGGATAGATGAATGGACAGACAGAGTGACTGAGCAATCAATCAGGGTTATTTCACTTACATATAACAGTCACGTTAGAAATAAAACGCTCTTATTTCTTAGGCAGTTGTACATATTAAGAGATGAACAACATGCTCCCATTGGTCTCAGCTGCTTGTACTTGATACATTATATATGTATATGTGAGTAAGGGGGACCTGGAAGTGGGTATGGCAGGTCCAGGTTGTGTAAGAATGCTACTGCATACCTTGAGATGTGCCTAAGTTGCAAAAAAAGTGAAATTCCAAACATAATTATAATCTCCATATTTAGCAGTCTCATAGCTGTATACAAGATTATTAGTTTAAGGACTGGGAAATCTTAATTCAGGATGCACAAACTGGCTGTGTAAACTTAACTAAATGTGAATCTTTCCGGGTCTGAATTTCATCACTGTAGAATGAGGGCATTAGTAAAATAATCACTGAAGACCTAAAGACCCCCTAGCTATAAATCTATATGGTCCTTTACTCTTCTAGACATCTCAGCAGAGTTCAGATATTCAAAGAAAAGGAAATAGATATTTTTATTATATATTTTATATATATGAGGGATATATATATATATATATACACCTATGATCCTATGTCTTGAGAAAAAAAATGTATATATGTATGTATGTAATACAGACCTATGATCCTATGGCTTGAGACAAATAAAGAAAATAATCTAAGAAAAAATTCTCACTGCCAGCAAACCCAAAGAAGCAGTGGGGGTAGTGCTTGTGTTGAGGTGGGATGGTGAGAAGACAAAATTGTGTGTCACAAGCAGCTTTGCATTTAGCTCTGATGATTTAAAAATAACAGAGACACCGAGACACAGACCAATATAAAATAGTCATACCAATTTTCCAGGAGAGTTTCAAGGAACTAGAAAGCCCAGGTGATCTGAGGCTTATAAAAAGCCACTTAAAGAATATCAGAGGGAATTTTCAACTGTGCCCAAACTTATTATGTTTAAAGAATATGGAGGGTCTACTTCTTAGAGAAAATATTGTCTCTATAATAATTTGGTATATTATAACAGCAATAATGGAAATATTTGCATGCTCATATTTATAACAGTTCACCATTTCAAAAGTACATTAAATATTTTATCTTATTTAATAACCTAACAGAGAGGATGATGTATCCCAACTTCCATTTTATTTATTTCTTATTCACCAACAAAGGTGGCCTTCCAGTTGGGAGGAGATTAACAAGCAAGGTTAAAAGATGTGAAGCCCAACATAAATGAAGAAATAAACAGGTGGCTTGTGGACACATCAAAATATGTTAATCTCTAAGACTAAAACAATAAAAATTCATGGTTTTCAAATAATTCAGTGCTGTTGTAGTTAATTATTGAATGAAAAGTATTTGGGCCCAAGAAAGGTAACCAAAATCCAGAGATTGACATTTCAGTTTTCATAAAGGTAAAGAAAGCATAGATGTGTATGACCAAAAACTGATCAATTTGACATGCTTACCAGAAAAGTTCTCCAACAAATAATTAAATATCTGATTGTAAGTATTTAGGAAACAACAGTTTCTGGAAATTAGGAAGACTTCCACAAAGAATACCAATAGCAAACTAAAACTCATATCCATTTTGGTTAGCACTATTAGTATGGTAGATACTAGTAACATAGTGTTTCTTGATTTCAACATGAGATGGCAGGGCTTCAGCTGACCAAGAACTTAATGTGTGCCAAGAATGTGATGTGACTCCTAAAAAAGAGAATGCACTCTAAGGCTGTATCAATAGAACCATAGTACATAGAGTACATGTAGTATTAATGTTCTCTGCAGCCAAAATTGTAAAAGATTTCATGTACCTGTGACATACAAAGCCTTCATCTGGAGGCGGACTAAAGTTAAAAGAGAGTTACCCAATTCATGTTTGTGGCACATATTATGTTTCAGGTATAACTGTTTTGTTTATGGAATTCTTTGTCCATTTCAATGAAGATGTATTTTTGAACCATTAAACTTTCAACTAAATCTTGAAATCTACTATGAGTTTATCCAGCAAGCCACATAGTGCTAGTCATCAATTTGTATCTATTTATGCATGAAATGTTATTTTTCAGATTAATAAGCCCCAAATCCTTTTGGTCAAATAGAATCAGTTATGTGAATAAAAAGACTTCTAAAATCCTATTGCTGAAAATTATTATCTCACTTCCAAAAAAAGAGAGTATTAGGATCATGTTAGGTAGCTAAATCAGACATCCTACCAGACAGGAACACTAACTAACTTAACTGCATAGTCTTTTGCAAGCTACAACATTATGACGCTCACATACAACAAAAGATTTTCGGTATTTGTTTTTAAGGTTTACCCCTCAGATCATTTGAAATCCAAATTAAGACTTACCTCAGCTTCCCTAAGTTTTGTAAAATTTGACTGTGCTCCAATATAGTATGAAATTCCTTTGGATGCACCCTCCAGAGTGGCACCTCGTATTAACAGGATGAGTAGGACAACATAGGGGAAAAGAGCTGTAAAATATACCACCTACCAAGAAAAACACCAAAAGTTAATGTTATTTTTTAAATCATGGTGTATAATTATATACAAATAAGGTTATTAGCCAGTTGAGATTAGTAAAATAAAGTATGAACGGTTTTCATAAGGGTGTCAGTAATTCTGGTGTGGTAATACCAATACGAAAGTGGACATTATTTCCTCTTTCTGTGCTCACCCTCTCAAATGATCCATTTTCAAAACACTCTGACATATGAAGCAATATTTCCCAGGTTCGTGATTGTAAATACACAATCAGCTCAGAAGTGATAACTTGGAGTCTAGGTAGAGAGCTTTCCTAAATATATAAATACATCTGAATGAGTATCTGAACAGACCGAATATCACCTCTTGGTAAATTATCACATTGAGGTGGGAAGAAAAATGATTTTAAACCCTGCAATGGGGAGTATGTACTCAGTCCCCAAGGACAAGAAAAATAATCTTCTAGTATATGTCCAAATCCCATGAAAGCTAATTAAAGTGCATGCTGGACACTTGCTATTATTATCCTTAAAACCACCAGTAAGAGAGTTTGATAGAACACAATACAAGTGCACTGCTTTTGTCATAGTAACACATGGTTCTAGATGAGCAGATTGCCTTTGAGGCTGGCTTTTCATTAATGTGGGTGATTTCCTTGATCCACTTTGGTATCCTGTGTTTGAAAACATGCCCAAGGAGATGATTTCAAGAAGTCATCCAGAGACCACAACAAATTAATTGCTTGGGTAAATGGCCTTTAATGGATTCTTTCAATGTTAACATCAAAAAGGAACTGAGGGTTTCAAAAATATGCAATTGAAACATTTTGGAAAGTTTCCACAGACTTTGTGATGTTCACAGTAGTTTTGCAATCTAACAGCATGTCTCATTACAGTTTAACATTAAGTGCATGTGCTAGATGTTGTACCAGGAATACAAAGATAGTACCCACAATTACTCCAGTCCTCTTCATTCTACTAGTTATAAACACATCAACATTCACTTTTCTGGGTACTGTACAAGTGCTCACAGAGAAAATTTCATGTCCTCTGAATTTGCCATGATGCACTATGACATTTTCATTTAAAAATAAAGTAATTAAGTGGGAAAATGCAATGATTTTCAGAAGAGGATTCTTTGCGGAGGGAGAGGGTTCTGAGACAGTTTTGGCAAGCTTTAAGAGAACAATTGCATAGTTAATTTTTTCCCCTCTCTCCAACTAGGGGAATCCTGACACTAATACTCTATATAACAGGAATCTAGACTTCCCAAACCAAACATTGCAATATACAATTTCATTCAAGATGCTTTTTCATGTAACAGAAAATCTTAAAAATATACTCTCAAGTTGCAGAATGCTGTATCAACTAGAAGTGTTCAAGTTTTGAGTAATTGCAGAACTCTACTAGATTTTGCTTGTTTTATTTTTAAAAGTAGTAGTGATCTTATGTTTTTTCTTTGAGTTAGGCTACCTACTTAGCTTTTCACACATTTGAGTATTTGAGTATTCCCATTGTGGACAAAACAGGATTTGATAATGCTTGACACTGAACTAAAATGACGTTGGAAAACAGCTACATCACTATCTAATGTGTTTTCCAAATTACCTTGCCAGAAGACTTGATTCCTCTATATAGTGCTGCTCCAACTATGAGCCAAGCCAGAAGAAGACAAAGGGCTAAATACCACACAATTACTCCAGTCTCATCCATTCCACTTGATCGCTGGAGCGCCACTTTACTGAAAACACATAAGCCCTTTTATGAACACAAAATCACTTGTCTTAGTACATTGAATTTTGTAATATTTTTTATCCAGGGAAAAGCTTCATAACTATTTTATCTTAATGCATCAATGTCTTGTGAACCTTTTATTGATACTGTTACATACAGGGGGAAAATTATTTCAATGAAAAGTCAGGCTCTAAACCTCAGGGTTAACTACAGCCAATCCAAAGTTCCAAACCCTGGAATAAAAGATCTACTGATTCCTTCAGCTATGATTTTTCCCCAATATTTCAAAACTCCTTTATGTAAAGAGGTTAACCTTATATCAGACTATTTCATTTTACTTGTTACCGTACTTTTTCTTACATTAAAATGACAGAAAACATTTAAAGTTGTATTGAATATTTTCTTATTCATCATACTTGTAGTTGTCATGAAATCTAAATGGTCCCATTATTTATACCTTTTTCAAATTTTTCTGTAAAACTCCATGAATTCTACAAAGGGCATGCATGGATTTAGGATTTTAATTCTTAGCTTGGTGTTTGGGAATATTTCAAGATCCAAATTTTAAAAGGGTCACATAAACTGTTAACATGTAGATGAGGAAGAGTTCATTACAGCAATAATCAAGCAAATTATGTAAAGATAAAGGGTAAGTATACAGTAAGGAAAATAAAAAGGCATCATTTAAAATTAATAAAAGTAAATGTAGCCCCAAATATCTTTTTTACCATATAACTGTTAGGGAGGAATTCAGTTCAAAGACACGGAGAAGTCAGAGCATGAGGTGAGGAAGGAATTCATTAAAGCGAGAATATTAGGGAATGACAGCTGCCTTGCAGGCAGCAGAGAGTAAGGAAGAACACAGTGATAAAGGAGTTCATTGAACTGCTGCTCAGCATGAGGCATACACCCTGCTAACTCCTTAAGCCAGTGTCACCTGGCGTCCAGTGTCCACTTGGATCTGCATGGCATGGGAACTGAGTCCCTGCCACCCCAGCATTTGGGGGAGCCACAGAGCACTGGATGGAGTGAGATTATGTTCTGCAAACTTCTCAGAGGCAAAGAAAGGAGACTTTCAGGCAAGCACTAAAGAGCATGACCATATAGCTGCAGTTCCATCCAGGTCACCCAGGAAATGGAGGCTTGCGAGCCCACATATGAACTCTCAGCAGCCTCTCTCTACTTATCTGAAATAAGACAGAGAGAGTGAAGATTTGAGCTTAAGTCCAGAGGATTAGAATTAAATAGCAAAGTAACAAGGACACTTACTACTGGAAAAGCACAGAGACAAAAGTTAAAAATTGAACAGTGAGAAGTTTATTTCAGGCAAAAAGGTGCACGCTCAAAGAAAGGAGAATATGGGAAACCTCAGAGAATAAGTGCCCTGAAACACTGGGGGTTCCCTCTTTTAAGAATTTTTCATGAATGTGACAAAGGGCTAGGGTGTGTAGACATGTCAAGTGGTCTCAAGATGCTTATCTCTGGTGAGAGACACCATGTCTCCTCTCCTCTATTATCAGTCCTGTAGGTAATTCTGAAAAATTGACTTAACACAAGAAATTTACTGATTCGGTTCCTCCCCAGGATAGCAGTTTCCCTCTGGGAACATATCAATCCAGACTGCTTGCCCTGCCCCCAAGATGGGCTGAATTATTGTCTGTTTGCTAAAGAATATGTTAGGAATCTTACTTCCTAACTTCCTGGCTTTTAGAATGTAATCTTAGCTTTAAGATGGAATCTTTCCTGTTCTTACTATACTGTTTATATCTGGGCTTTTTTGGAAAATTAATTATGGTGCTTGTCTCCTGCCCTGGTTACAAAATTACTTGATGAGGGGCTGGAGGAGGAGGAAAAAAACACCATATAGGTTAAGTTAAAGAATTAACTGGCCTTTTAGCAGGCTAAAGTAAATCTTACAATGGTATCATCTAATTGACACAATGAAGACATGGACTGTGTACTAGGATCCTTGTCTTTATCTGGGGAATATCTGGACATTCCAAGTTACTCCTGGCCTTGGGAGCTTCAGACGATTAACTCATTAACTCCGTGAGTATTTTCTGGCTCCTTATATCTGGGAGTTTTATCTGTTTAACTCTTTGAGTCCCTTTTAATGGGCGTTACTGGCCTTATTCTCTCTACACCCCACTGATATCTATTTTTCTGCATAACGTAATGACAATTATAAGCAAGATGGATAATGAAGAACTGCAGCCTTAAATAGCAATTTTGCCCCAAATATTGCTCATCACCCAACTGTGTATTGTGAGAACTTGTTCATTATAGTCTAACATTTGAATATTATTTTTCTTCAAAGCAATGCCCTAACTTATACCTAATAAGCACTAAATAAATCATTACTGACAGTTGTGCCCATTTAATTGATTTATAAATGACAATTTGTTAACTATGAGCTAATTTTGCAGGTACAAGGTAGGTATACTTTTGGAACAAATGAAGCATAATTTTCTCTGATTCCCCCTTTTCTCTACTTATGTGAGTTAAGGGCTGATTAATATTTTATTGTCATTTATAAAAAATTTTGAATAGCACCTGCTTAAGAAGCACATCATCTAATGCACTTACTTCCAATATTGTTCACTGGGAAGCTGCCCTGGCTGATAAACTTGACTTTCGTCGATGCAGGTAAAATTGTTGGCATCTACCCAGCTCTTATTTGCTTGGAAGATCTCTGTCATATTGATACTCACACTACAGTGAGTTACTAAAAATTATAAAAGGAGTATACAAATAAGTACTTAGTTTTGAAGAATATTTTCCTGGGAAAAAGTTTTAATGGTAAAATATTTAAAGTACTATCTAAATTGTTACTTAGTGACAGTGGAGTAGAAATCTTACAAATGAAATAGCTATGCACATTCAGCATCTTAAATCTCTGCTACACAGCTGGGGATGAGTCTGGAAATATCTGCCCTTTTAAACTGTGATTGTATTTATGGTAATAACAGCTACAGAGTAACAATCACTTCAGTTGGGAATTAATGCTTAAGGAACTTTCAGTATGTTGACTTATTTAGCCTATATAAATAAATGACATCTTTAAATACCTAAGAAGCATTAAATCATTTTCACTTTGTTCTCTGATATACATATGCAATCCCAGTCATATTAGTCTGCAATACCGACACTACATTATCCCAAAGATTAGCAACATATGACATGGACAACACTCACTGTTTCCTGAAAAATACTACTCCAATCATAGGTAGCGCTTTTCTCTCTTTACCACTTTCCCATTTTCTTCCTTCTCTCCTGCCCAGGACTTAGACCTGTAAGAAGTTCTCCTAGTTGTGATTTTGCCTTATGTCCTCAGAAATTAACATAGTGCATTAGTCAGCTTTCAGGTGTTCATGCTTTACTCTGCTTTCATCAATAGCCTATGGCTCAGTTAAAACTTTACCAAAATTGGTTAGAAAATGACTGAACCCTTTAAGTTTATTAGATAATATAAAAGAATGATGCAGAGTTAATAGTATTCTAAAAATAAGTAAATTAATTTTACCAATAGGCGATCTGCTACAGTTTGTATCTGCCCAATAAGAACAATTTTTCCATGGTAGTTCACTTTGAAAAGAAGCAAACATGTAGTAAAGACTATAGGCAATTATGACATTGTAATAGATCGTCACAAAAATGGCTATCAGGACCATTGTAATTCCCACACCTGGAAAAGAAAACAGTGAAAAAACCAAATGAGAAATTTCTTTTGGTGATTCATAAAAAAAGCTGTACATCAAAAGGTTTCCAGAAAGTCTATTTAAAATGAGAAGGCTATTTCAAACAACTTTTTCATTTTTAAAAAAAATTTTTGAGGGAGTCTGTGGGGGAGGCAGTACTACATTTTAAGTAGTTTTCTTCTCAAATATAAGGTAATTTTGATGATTGGCTTCCTGAGACAGTTTTTAGTTGATTAGATAAGGTACTAAGACCTGTATTAACTCATCAAATTCACATAAGGGAAAACCCATGTCCATTACTCTTTCTTATTAAGTCTGTAAATTCTTGCCAGGGTGGGTACTATCCTTAAAAAAAAAAACTATTCAAAGCTCATATACTCTTAACTCATTGACCAATACATCTTCATCTGTAAACCAACATTTTGACAAGTAGAAAAGCTGCTGAGTTAATACCCTGAAAGGATAGTGTACAGGCATACCTCAGAGATATTGTGTGTTCAGTTGCAGAGCACCCTAATAAGGTGAATATTGCAGTAAAGCAAGTGAAATGAAGTGTTTGGTTGCCCAGTGCATATAAAAGTTATGTTTACACTACATTGTAGTCCACTAAGTGTGCAATAGCACTACGTCTAAAAACACATGCATACCTTAATTAAAGAATTACTTTATTGAGTCATAATCACTGATCACAGGCAACCATAATGCCTATAATAATGAACAGGTTTGAAATATGGCAGGAATTACCAAACATGACACAGAGACACAAAGTGAGCAAATGCTGTTGGAGAAATGGCGCCAATAGATAGGGTTGTAAGGGTGTCATTATTTTCCTATTTTAACCTTTTAAATTCTCTTGGTACATAGTCCTGTTGTGCATTAATTCATGTCTCCAGCTTTCTTCTACTTCACTTGCAGTCTTTGTCTTCTTTCTTGTGCATATCTTTTACAATGCCCCATTCAGAAAAGTTCTTCCTAATTCCTTCTATATCTGCAACCGTGGCTTGACACCAGGTTGCCACAAACTTTCAATTTATAAAAAATAAAATTATATGCAAAGCACAAAAAATCAAAGTGCAGTAAAATGAGGTGTGCTTGTACAGCATTTCTACAAACACATGAAAAGAAAATTCAACAACTCAGTAACAATCTTAATTTAAACGTTCGAAGTTTCTTTAACTCAGTAGTTTCAAAATGCAGTTTAGCATACTGAATATGACTCCCATGGTTAAGACTAGCTATTGAGGTAGCTTCCTTAATATTGCAGCACAATATTCTATTCATCTCACTGTAACTTTATTTTTGATGTTGCACTGAGGCTTTTACAAATAGTTTTCAGCAGCTAGCACATACCCAAATGATATCGAATCTTCAGGCAAGTTGTTTGATGTTTAGTAACAAGGCATTTTGTAAAACTTTTCTATTGTCCTTTTAGGAGCATCCAAGAAAAAATAGTGACCTGCCCTTCAACTTTTCTGAATGGGGCATTGTAAAAGATATGCACAAGCAAGAAGACAAAGACTGCAAGTGAAGTAGAAAAAAGCTGGAGACATGAATTAATGCACAACAGGACTATGTACCAAGAGAATTAAAAAGGTGAAAATAGGAAAATAATGGCACCCTTACAACCCTAATATTCTTCCTAATTCCTTCTATATCTGCAGCCCGAGATAAACAGATACAAATTAACACTTGACTTTTAAATTCTACAATGGCAAATATTCAGAAAAACAGTGTATGCTTCTTTGCCTTTAATATGCCTTAATTTTAAACACTTTTCTTCCACATAGTGAGGACATCTATATGTACGAATAGACCAATAAACACAATCAGGAAAACATTTTAATACCAACCTTGAAATAATGGAAGAATTCTCCAAACTGAAACTGGGCCTAAGCTAGCAAATTGTCCCAGTGAACACTCTAGGAAGAACAAAGGTAAACCAGCCAATGCTAGCATAATCGCATAAGGTATCAAGAAGGCACCTAGAAAATGCAAAAAAAATATCCAAAGCACTGTTAAATCCCAAAATCTTGATAGCACTTGGACAACCAGGATAACATTTGGAAAGCATTCTGATAAAGTAGAGTTGGAGTACTGGACTTAAGTCCCAAATTTACTACTTTCTACAAGAAAGTTATTTATTCTAAACATTGTAGTAATTCTAAATTAATCTAGTAATTGATTCTAAACCTTGGATTCCTCATCTATGAAATGGGGATGCTAGTATTACCTAATGAGGTTGTTGTGGTTATGAAAAGTAGCCTATGAAAAGTAATTCACAGATGTTGAATGATCCACACACTCTGAAACCAGAAAGACCTAGGTTTATGTCTTGGCTCCACCATTCACTAGTTATGCGGCCTGGGGGCAATTTACCTAACCTCTGAACTTTAGCTTTCTCATAAATGGGGAGAACAATACCAAATCCTCAGTTTGTAGTTAAGGGTTGAATTACATGTGTGAAAATACTTGGCAAAATGGCAGACACACGGTATATGTTTCAAGTTCATTTCCCTCCTTTTCCATTAAAAATAAGTGGTCTGTTTTTAAGACTTCAGGAGCAAAGGCAAAATGTGGTTCAGTTTGAAAGTTATTGTAGTGAAATTCACTATACTCCAAATAACCACAAGTCTTCATTCAATGTTAATAAGAAGTTTATTGTTTTTGTTAGAAGAATCTGAACTTTTGAGAAGCATTCAGAGTCAACTTTCAACTTCAAAAGGACTAATTCTCCTACATTTAAATTAGCAAGTCCCCATCCCCATTTTGTGTTTTTTTTTAAACTTTTATTATTTTACTTTTTTCTGCCCTCTTTTGGGATAGAGTATTGCTTATTAGAACTGTTACCAGATTGTAGGTAGAAGCAGGGGCAGAATATTAAACCTAGTGATCTAGAAGTCTTAACAAAAATTAATAAGAAAATGTGGGGCTCACTGTATAAAAATGGCCTTCTGCATTATGTATATTTCATTTACTCATGTTACAATTTTTTCATGTGTTTTTCATATAAGGATAATACTGTAACACTATACCTGAGAATTACATTTTTTCCAACCCTCAAAATTTTCTAAAAATAATGAGACAATAAAGTACTTGTTACATATAAGTCACTAGTCACTCAAATATAGGGACACATGTTTTGATAGATGTTGCAATGTACATACCATTTTTAGCATTACTAATAGAAGTTTAAGTCCTACAAATGATAAATATAAAGAAAAGGTAAAACAAATTACCCCTGTTTAAATATAACAATAAATTAAGTTTGACTAGCCCAGCATAAAGAGCTTTTTTGGGGAAAAATGGATTCTTTTCTTCCATGTTATATTATTCATTATTTTCACCTATTTATGTTATTTCATCTGTTATATTATTTCATTATTAATAACAGCCATAATTGGTAAATTGTTAATATAAGATAGTATTCACAAATTGTTAGTATCATTGACCTAGACCCTAAGGTAGCCTGATACTTCCCTTTAATAAACTGTTTAAAAAAAAGAAAAAGAACCTGCAGATAAAAATGATTCCAGATTTTGGCAATAGCTTTTCAAACCTGACCATAATTTTAAATCTGACCTATTAACATTTGACAGATTTAAATCTCATGTTCCTTTTCTACCCTTGTGCAAAAGAGAAAAAAGCAATTAAGAAAGCCAATATTATCCATCACACAAATAATGTGATTGTTAAAAACTGAAAGCCGATATGATATATTAATTTTTAGGGGAAAGAGATGATAGCATACAATCAATAATATTATTTTGTTTTGGCTGTGTTTAAAAAGTCTCTATTAAACCTAGTGTAATATAGTTCCTGGAATTTATGGCAATTATTGGGCCTATATATGATATCAAGTCACAGGGAATTTCTTATTCTACACCTAAACACAAGAGGCTGGAAAGGAGTTCAAATGCTTCTCTTCACTACACTGGACCTCAGTACATAAACACCAAAAAAAAACTGTGATTCCTGACTCATTTTTCCAGCCCAAACATAGACCAACCAATGAGTAAACAGTGTAGACTCCTGATTGGGGAATTTATGCCACTAACACTTAAAATGTTTAATAGACAGAGCTCCTTTCTTAAGTCTCTGAAGGTCAGTATGAATGTTTTAATGCAACCAATTAACCAGGAATATAAGATTGAAATATCACCACACAAAATCTTATTGTACCAAGAAAAATAATTATAGTGGCACAGTTTCACTGGTACCCAATTACAAAATCTAAGGACATGCCACCTCTACATTTCTAATAGAACCTGTAATTACGAGTAACTAAAATGTGGTGTAAGTGAAAAGTTGTTTCAACATTAGTAGAGAATTGTGTAATTCATTTTGTTTCCCTTTGTGTGTCACCTCAGAGTTATTTTTTTTCTCCTTATTCTAATTGAGTCTTCCTTAATGATCTATGAGGTATAAACAGTATCCTTTTGCAGAAATTAAACATCTAGCCTTGAAGTAAATTCTGTTGCATTTTAGAAAGATATTCTACACGGTCAATCCAGTTTGGAATATATATAACTCAATATTGCAGCTTAAAATACTAGCCTTTAATTAGTTTTTAATCAACTCCTTCCACAGTTAATTTTCCAAAATGTAATGTCTTATTGTATTTAAGCAAATAATTTATTTGAGCTTCTTATTAAAACTAGAAGTCCCTGCCTTTTTCTTAGATTCAGCTATAGATTAAGCAAAACACAACTTGAGCTTGAGCAGATTATCACAAAACATGTATAGATTAAGAAGAGCAAGTCATAGTTGAAGATAACATAGATCTCAAATCAGAAACTCAGAAGTGCTAAATATACATTTTTTAGCAGATTTATATCTTTGGATTTTGTGAAGCCAGCTTCCTAACCGGACCTAGCAACTCATAATCTAATAATAAATGCAGTATTCTTGTTTTTCATCCTCCCACAAACCCAAACTATCATATGCCTTTCCTGAATTCTTAAAATATCCTCAGAGGCCATACAGTACCCCACTTAAAACTGGAGTGGAACATGGGGGGGAATGGAAATACCTCCACCATTGTTGTAGGTCAAATATGGGAATCTCCACACATTCCCCAATCCCACTGCATATCCAATCATAGATAGAAGATAATCCGATTTTTTGGACCAGTTACCACGGTCCTGATTCTCATCATTTTCACCAACATGGAAATTCTCAGATGAAGCCGTCACTTTCTGGAGAAAGGAAAACATCAGTAGTTTGTATTTCTACTATTAAAAATACCACAAAAGCATAATTTCACAAATCCACAGAGTGACAATGAGAGAGAGAGAAACTCTGAAAGCTGTAGCCAAGGGGAACACATTCCAAAACTGGGGAGAATTCTTTTCCTTCACAACATTTACCCCTTGAAGTGATAAAAGCCTTAGCTCTATAGGAAGATATTTTTACTACTTCTCTGGGTGAGATCATTCCAATTTTGGTGGAAAGGTTATATGTGGCACCTAGCATGAAGGACAAATGAAGGTGGACAAATAAAGTTACAAATACAAAAGTCTTAAAGATGAATTCAGTAAAATCAACACTCTTGAGATTGTAGATATTTGAGAAGAATCAAAGATACCTTTTTCTAGAAAAAAATTCATAGACTTGCTTTCCTCTAGGCTGACAGTTTGAGATGTCTGGAGTTAAGGGAAGTTTCACTTCTCTCCCTATCTTGGAGAGCAAAATCAATGCTTTCCTGAAAGTCACAGAATAATATATTCAGAGACAAATGCTCCTGTCCCACAGGGTGGAGGAGCTCTCTCCGCTTAAAGAGGGGAGGGTTTCCTCCCAACCTCTTAGCTGCTCTAGTGTATGGAGAGTTTCTCAGGTCAGATAAGGTCAGTGAATTTTCTAATTTTCTCCAGCATACGGATACAGTCCAGGGATACAACACAGGATTTTGAGGGCACACCCAAGGCAGAGGATGAGGTGACCCTAAGTCTCCTAGTTACCAGAATAAGAGCTGTTTTATTTTTCCTCTACTCTATGGGGACATCTCAGGCACATTGGAAGGCAGTTGGACAGAAATGTGGAGAACAGGAAAAGGCCACAGAAAGCAAAACCTGAGATTTAGTTTGCCTCCCCTTAAGCTTTCCCTGCCCCAGGCCTCCCTCCTCCCACAGCTGCCAGACTCCTACCTCTTTCCTTCTGCACTTGAAGCTCAGGCACTTCAGCTTGTCCATGGTTCGCTCACTCCTTGTCTCACAATCTGGCTGAACTTGACTGGTGGCAGGTGCACACTCCCCTGTTGCTACCTGCCAAAGTGAGCCACTTTGCCCAGGGGTGAGACCATTTATGGAAGGAATCTATCCCCTCCCCCTCCAGGACTCCCCGTCGTGTCAATTACCGGAAGGGACTAAAGTGAGGCTCTGGTTTTTCCCCAGGTAAGCTGGCATGTAGCAATCCCCAGGCCCGGCCCCGGGAAAGGGCTGGGCTGTGAGAGAGCGGAGCAGCCAGCGCCTAGATGACTGACAGCATTTGAGTCAGAGCCCAGCAAGGTGCCTTCGCAATCGCTCCTGCTTTCCCGGGTTCCCCGCTTCCTACTCACCTCCTCTCCGTCTGGCCTCTGTCCTGGGGCCAAGTGCTGATCTCCACTGGCGCAGAAAGGGCATGGTCTGTGGGGCTCGTTCTGTTCCTCATGATTTTCCTGAACAAACCATATCGTCCTGGGCCCTGGGATTTCCCACTTTTGCCCTGCCCTAGAAAGCACTTGATTCCCTGGGGCAAATGCTGCTCCCAGAGGAAAGGTTCCTGAATTGGGGACCTTGAAAAGCAGCCAGCTAAGATAAGATTACCCAGCTGGCTCTGCCTGAAAAGAACAAATTTGAGCCTGTATCTTAGGCACCTTTCTCAGTCTCCAGGACAATGTTGCCCTTTGCAGGGATTGCTTTGTGTAGTATTTCAAAGAGGCCAAACAAAAACAAATTATTGAGAAGGTTTATGGGAAATTCTAACCCTAACAAAGGAATCCACTTTGTAAAGAAAGGTAAGGTCTAGAAAGTAAGCTATGAGGAAGCATCCCAGCTTGGCCAGGGAGGAAAGAATCATTATAATGCTGTTTTTCAATGTAGCACCTTTTCTTCAGAAAATCGTGGATTTAAACTCAGTCTGACCTGGTAAAACAATGGTGGTAGCTCTGTGAAACAGTACAAATCTCTGCGCACAGAGGAACCAGCAGAGACCTAAGCTCTTATACCCAGTGTACCACTCTTTTTGTACAGGTCCTCCACTGACTGACATGAATTTTCCCTTTGCAATATAAGTATATTCCCTGGGGAATCTGGGCAGGTAAGGCAGAGGAAAGTCTACAAAGGAAGTAGGAAGATAGTAAGGAAACAGTGTCAGTAAGTTTCATCTAACTTTGTCTTGAACGTAGCACAGGCTGGTAAGTGTGTGTGTGTGTGTGTGTGTGTGTGTGTGTGTGTGTGTGTAGCAGAATCAGGACCTGTAAACCTCCTTATTAAAAAATGAGCTGAAAAGCAAATCTTAGAGCATTTATCAAACTCTCAAAGTACTGTAGAAACAAAAAGACCCACCAAGGGGTCCTGCAAACAGATGGTAACTGTGGGAATAGAGAATAGGAATCTTAGGGATAGAGAGATAATGGGGACAGCAAGGCAGGTGTAGGTGGCATACAGAGGAAACAACCAGCAATTTATCTTGCTTATTATACAGTAGAGAGGCTTTTAACAACTTTGAGTGTGGAGTATCAGAGGCATATAGTTTAAGATAGAAGGTTTTTTAGGGAATGTGTTGTTTACTTGTTTGTTTGGGGGTTTATCATTCCCATTTCCATGCATAGCTTTTCATGACACGACTCCTGCCTACAGTTTGAGTGTCATCTCTTGCATTCTCTGCCTCAAACTCTAAAGCTTGTATGTTCTTTCCTGTGCATGAATATACATATTGTGTCTCACATCTGTGCCTTTACTCATGCTGTTTCTTCTTCTGGGAATTCCTGCCCTCCTCATTAGGCTAACTACTACTCATCCTTTAAGACTCACCTCCTCCACATCTTTTGACAGTGGTTGGTCCTCTATAACTGCAGACTGGGTTTAGATGCCTCTCCTCAGTAGTTCTGTGCTACCCTATGCTTGTTTTACATTATGTGAAATTATTTGCTTACAGTCCTCCAGAATGCATGTTCTCTGAGAGCAGAGAAACTGTCTTAATGATTCCTGTATTCCCAACACCTAGCACAAAACCTGACACAGAGCAGGCACTCAGTAAGTGCTTATGAGAAAATTTGACTCAGAACTGCCATTTAATGATTTTGTGGTCAAAAACGGGAAAGGGCAACTGGTCTAGAATCCATCCCAAAGAGATCATAAAATGCCAGGAGTGTGTTTTTTCTTCTTTGGGGTCTGACTTATTAACTCATGAATAAATTGTGTTTGTGATTTTTAAAATGTATTTGGGACTTGAAAGAAGTATAGAAATTGAGTGGCACTAGAGAGAGGAAACTACATAAACTCAGTCATGGGGATAAAAATGAGTATGGTGTGGGAGAATGTGAGAATACTCTGCTACTGGCCAGGGCAATAGGAAATAAGATGGAGAAAGTGTGGCCTTTCAAGGGCCTTGAAATCCAGGCCTAAACTATTGCGTGACAGGCCAGAGTAAACTGAGTGTTAACTCGGGAATAACACGTAGTACACTCGACTTCATCTGTGCAAAAATACCTCAAAATTATAACTAATGATGTCCATGCACTCAGTTGTGCAATGCTAGACTTTTAACTGTGGGTCTTCTTTTCCAGGACACATACACCACAGCCATGAATCTGCTTTGGTTAAAAGAGAAATATCACTGACAGCAATTTAAAGATTTATTTAATAATAAATTACTAGTAACTAAAAATCAGCTCATAGTTGTGATTTTGCCCAGGAAAAAAAGTTAAAAACTGATCCTACAGGTTAGTTATATCCTACATTCTTTTCCCTTCTTACTAAGATTAAATTTGTCATTATCCATGGGAGTCCCTTCAGTATTGCTTGTAGTCGCTAAAAATAGAGGACTCATTGCCTAAAGCTTTCTTCTAGATATTGTGGATGTGAAAAGTTTGACAAATAAGGTGTTTGAACAATCTCCAAACCTAATGCCTTATTGAGCAAGCACACTGTTTTCTAGCTCTGTCCTTGAACAATCTTCCTTTCACCAGCTGAAAGTCTAAGAGAAGGAACCCCACTAGTCAGTATATAGGAAAAAGAACATATACATACATTTTTTACAAATCTTATCACAGTAAATGTGTGGATATGAATTATCCCTTTGAAGTTTATATTTTCAGATATTAACACTTTTTAAAAATTGTACTCCACCCATAGTCAAAACATTAATAAGTTATTTCTAAAAAAAAAGTTTCCTTCAAACCTAGGAAGCAAGACTTACTTAAGAAAGGCAATCACATAGATTTCCTTACTGCCATCCAAGGAGGTTATAATTCTAGATACATCAACTAGTGAATGGATGGAGAAAACACACAGTACTATCCTACAGAATACTGAAGGATAACATGTCAAAGAATATGATAGTTCCTGAGGCATAATTTCATACTGGTGCTTTCTAAATAGGAAAAGTGAATTTGTTAAATTTCGTGATTTCTTTTTACATTCACTGTAACATACCATATAGCTTTTCTTGAGTATTAAGTGCACAGTTCATAGGTGTACAGCTCGATGAATTTTTACAAATATACCTCTCCCACACATCCAGCACCAAGTTCAAGAAACAGTCCCAGAACACCAGAAGACCCCTCCTTATCTTCCTCAAGATTAAGCGCTATCCTTGAATTTTAACACCAAAACTTAATTTTGTCAGTTTTTGAACTTTTAATAAATGGAATATTGTAGCATGTATAAGTATGTCTGCCTTCTTTTGGCTCATCATTATGTTTTGGATATCATATGTTACCAGACACAGTAACATAGGTCTTTAGTTAGTCTATTATCATTCTGCACAGTATTCCAATGTATGAATACACTATAATTTGTTTATCTGTTTTACTGATGGACATTTGGGCTGTTTCTGCACTGGGGCTATTTTGAAGAGTATGGCTATTAATTTTCTTGTAACATGTCTTCTGTATGTGCTTCTGTTCAGTACAGACCTACAGTGGGCTTCCCGGATCAGAGGGTATGTGCTGGTCAGCTTTAGTAGATGTTTCCAGTTTTCCAAAGTGATTTTCCACTTTACATTCCCACCAGCACTGCCACATAGATTTTTTTAAGGCCATGTGGAATGGAATGGACTATGGAAGGAAAAGAAGGAAGGTGGAAGGAAGGGAGTGCTTGATGGGAAAAGAGAAGAAATAGTTATTTACTGACCCAGATACCATGTGAAGTGATCAACATTTATGATCTCATTTAATTCTTATAGAACTTCTTTGAGGTAGGACCTATTATAATCCCCATTTTACAAATGAAGCAACAGAGGCTTAGAGAAGTTAAGTGACTCACTCAGAGTCACACAACTAGTAAGTGACAGGTCTGGTATTTGAACCCGGACTATCTGACTCTACAGTCTACACTCTCAAACCACTTAATATAAGAACATGAGGACAAGGTATTAGAAAATGCTTTGTCTGTGGCATTCTAACTCCACAGGGCTTGGTACCCCTCCAGCATTAATAATAATATGGAATAATTTGGCATTATTTGATCCTCCATATCCGGCAGAACAGTGCACATAGATGAAACTGCTTAATCTGATCTTCAGTAGCATTGAATAAGCTTACCTGTACTCCCTCCTTAACAGAGACTTCACTACTTAGACAACATTTATGCTACCATCCCAGCTGAGTGTTACATTATCAGTTTGCAAGGGTTCACCACTGGGAGATTTGGATTCAACTAATTCATAGTAAGGACAATCAGTACTGGGTGTTCAGGGTGAGGCCTAGATTTTGGTAGCTAGGGTTTAGAAATAAACACTTATTGTTCTCTGAGGTGTAACAAACACGTAAGATTTGGAGCCTGCAGAACACTTAGATGCTTCATTAACTACCCCATGCAAGGCAACTTTTTTTTTCAAAATATCTTTAACCAAACCAATGCTTAATATAAGAGATATCTGAATTACACTAGGCAATGGAACTAATGAGGATTTTTTTTTTGACCAGCAAATCAGGAATTTTCTTTCCCAGGACAGAAAGTGTCTTTCTTCAGTACATCAATATTCATTCTATCACCATGAAACCTTGACTATGTAGCAACTAGAGATACTCTTTAATTGTTAGTAACAATGAATAAATGTTTTAATTTGACCTAGTTATCTAATACTAATGTAATGATGCACTAGAGGAGAGAAATATTTAGTCTTCACTCTTGATATACTGGTATTTCTCCTTTTAAAAGCA